CCACACGGCATTTATGACAAATTTATCGTGCACTGGATCTACCCTAAACATATTATACAACCACCCTAACACGTCGTTCAAACCCATATGCTCCGGTGCATTCAGACTAGTATCATGGAAGGCATATACAGTCAAATCCACCCCGTTATCACATATTTGTATCAGAGCATCGGCATAATACAGACCGAATGGGCATATCACGTGACATCCTGATTAAACATGGCCAATAGTCTCCCGTTTAATCATTTAATCATTCGATAATTACCTTATTACAACTTATACTACATGGTCGTGTACTAATTTACAACTATTAGTAACAAACAACTAGTTTAATAATCCAAATAAAATATAACACCTTGTACCTATTTTAACACATAATATATCAATAATATGTACTAACTAAGAACTAATTTAACCGTACAATTACTTAAATACCTCTACCAACATTTAGCAATAACAAATATGTGCTAACCATACATACTAACATCGAACAATGCGAAACAATTAACAACTCTTAAACCAATTTTTTATTAAACTTTCATATGCATTGTACTTATGGATTACTAATGTATACCTTAACTTCACTGCTAGAGGGCGTCGCCAACCCTTTCCTCCCGGCCGGCGCCTCCTCGGCCTCCTCTCCGGCCTGCTATCCCCTCCCCTCGCTCCCTCCGGCGCTCACGGCGACGATGTGGCGACTCTCGGCGGCGGCTGGCGATGTGGTCCTCAAACAAATCGAACTCGCGGCCTGGGTGGACGGGGCTTTAAACCGGCCTGTCGAACGCCCATTGTTCGACAGGGTCGGTGGAGGGCCATGTCGAACGCCCCCGGTTCGACAGGCCTCGCGGCGCCGGGTGGTGGGCCCTGTCGAACTCCCTCCGTTCGACAGGTGAGCGTGTCGAACGCCAGCCGTTCGACAGGGTTTTGTCGACTGCCCGTCGTTCGATAGGTGCCCTATCGAATTGCACCCGTTCGACAGGGACCTACTTTCGCGATTTTCCCCCGTTGGCCACTACTTTTGCGATTTTCCATAAAAATAATATTAATTCTCAAAAAAATTCGGGAAACACTGCTGTCTTGCTCCTGAGCATGTGTACTAGGTGACATAGCTGAGACACGTACAAAGAAATTGAGGCGATTTATGTGTAGGTGGGTGTTAGCTCTATGGTTTTGAGATTACAGCGGCAAAGCATGAAACGTATTGAAGTTTGTGGTGAAAAAACAGTATAACTAGAGAAGTAGATATGGAATGAATGGTTCAAAATGAACCGTTGCAGAGAGCAGACCCAAAATCCGGATCCTCTGCGTCACAGTTGATCAATGCAATGAACGGTACTGTAGATACAGAACCATTTGGCTAAGAGAAATAAGTATGTTTTGAAGATTAAATATGATGATATTGTTGTACAAGTCATTTTAGGGAATACCAAAAGGATGAGTAGAAGTAAATGTTATCTCACTAATATCTTAGTCTTTAACCATGAATGCCTAATATAATTCTTAGTACAATGAAAAATCGCATGATTCAATAAGCGGCGTATAAAAAAAAAGTTCATTGGTATCATAACATGCTTAGCAGTGTCATAATATGCTAACTATACTTAGAAAAAAATTACGAATATACTTATTTTTTCAATAATTTACGTTTATATACATGCATAGGAAGGAATTGCAAAAATTTACCTGTCCCGCGATGGTCCCGCAGCTCCAAAATACGGGACCGACAGTCCCGCGGGACAGTCGCGTGGCTCCGCGATAGTCCCGTAGCTCCAAAATACAGGACCGTGATAGTGAGCAATTTTACATTGTTTTTAGTACTGTTTGACATTGTTCACGCATCGGTCCCGCTGTTCCATTGTGCGGAACGAATCGTGGATAGTGTCGAACAGTGCCAAAACAGTGACCCAAATAGTGGTGAACAGTACCAACACAGTAAAAAATCGCTAGCTACGTCAGTGCTGCGTTCTGGAGCCGTGGGACCACGACGATCCCGCGTTTTAGAGTGGAGCTACGGACTGGCACGGTCCCGCGTTTCCACCCCTCGGACCATTGTGTAAGTTCTTGGAGTCGTATGGGTTGATGTGATGGAGAAGAATATTTAGTCCGATGTGTGATAAACTGAGCCACGTCACTGACAGTAACGACTGCCACCTGCGTATTCATGTGGTGAATGACTGCACACTACTCGTGGCCAAAATGTGATGTAGTTGGCAAGGTGTAAATAGCTTGACTATAAAATCCGATGGCTCTTCCGCTTCCCTAGCCTGAAGTGATAAATTATGCATAGTTGATTCCCTTTCTCAATTTTACCTGCGTGGATGGTGTATGGGGCTTTTTGGGCTTGGGAGGCAGAAGGATTAGAACTATCAGATATTGAGGGAAATGCCGTTCTTGGTCCTGAGCATGTGTACTAGGTGACATAGCTGAGACGTGTACTGAGAAGAAACTGTGGCGGTTTATGTGTACGTGGCTGTTAGTTCTATGGTTTTGAGATTACAGCGACGAAGCGCGACACGTATTGAAGTTGGTGGTGGAAAAACAGTGTAAGGTGGTGTTTGGATACAGGTGTCCACTAATTTAAAAGTATTAAATATAAACTATTTACAAAACTAATTATATAAATGAAAGCTAATTTACGAGACAAACTTTTTAAGCCTAATTAGTTTACTGTAACATCACATAGGCTAATTATGGATTAATTAGGCTCACTAGATTCATCTCGCGAATTAGTCCAAAATTATGAATAGATTTTATTATAGTCTACGTTTAATATTTATAAAAGTTTTAGTCCCATATAAATAGGGTCTACTATAGAATTAGAGATCAGATGAATTGTTCAAAATGAACTGTTGCAGAGAGCAGACCCGAAAGCCCGATCCTCTGCATATTAGTGCAGAGGTTCACTATCCATGTGAGTATTACAGTAGACCAACGCAATGAACAATGTTAATTTACTGTAGATACAGAACCATTAACACTCTGTCGCACTATTTTTTTGATCGGGTGGCTGCCAACTCACCTAATGTATGGTACTCCTAACATATATACTAGTGTTATCTGACTAATATCTTAGTCTTTAATCATGAATGCCTAATATACTTCTTAGTACGATGAAAAATCGTATGATTCAGTTATGTAATGAAGCAAAATTATTTTTTTATCGACATTCTCCAAAATGTACGGTGTCCTTGTGCCTTTAGCTCGGTGACTAAAATTCTTGGATACAACCCTATGATTATAGTACTTGCGTAATTAAAGACAAGCTAGTTTGATATATTTGTTCTTATTATGATATTAATATCATCAGATATATTTTCTCTACTAGCATAATGCACATACGTTACAACGGATTTTTTAAATTAAAAATAGCCCATTATATATAATTTTATTAAAGTCTTAAAAATATGTTATCTACTTAGGGTTTGTTTGTTTGAGATGTGGCTTTTGGAAAAGTAGCTATGAGTTGTGGGCCTGTGGCTTTATAAAAGCAACGGTGGAATATGGTCCCTGCCTTTTGAAAAAGCTCGTTTGGTTTAACAACTGTAGCTTTTGAAATAACTAGTCCTGCTGACAAACGGGCCTCACATGTCATACACACGTTGAAAAAAACGAGAAGAGGAAGAGATGGAGATGGCCATCGCCATCGCCGTTGGCCTCGGCGGCAGCAGCGGGGAGGCAGACGTGCGCGGTGGAGTCGGTGCGGCTGGAGCAGCGGCGGCCACCATGCCTGACGGGCGAAGGGGGCGGTGGCCCCGGGAGAAGGAGGCAGTGGTGTTGCCACCGCCGTTGACCACCTCACCTCTCTCGTCTCCCACCTCCACGGCCGACGGGCGAAGGGGCGGCGGCACCGGGAGAGGAGGGCATCAGCCGGAGATGGCGGTGGCGGATTGGAGGGGGAAACGCGGCAGTGGCGGCAGACCGACGAGCGGCCTCGGTGAGATCGTCTCGCTACGCGTGGCCTCGGCGGGATCCTCTCCCCATGGGTAGCGTCAGCGGGAGAGGAGGGGGCATCGGCCGGTGACGGCGGTGGCAAATTAGAGGGGGGAAACGCGGCGATAGCAGCAGGCTGGGAAGATCCTCTCCCCGTGGGTGGCGGCGGTGGGGGAGGAACTCGCCGCCTTGCCGGGAGCTCGCCTCGCCTAGTGAGGCCACAGCCGCGTGTGTTGGAGGAGCTACCCAAAAGCAGCTCAAAGCAGGAGATAGAGGTGCTTTCAATTTGTACTAGAGCAAAAGCAGTTTTTGGGTAGAAGCAGCTATGGCTTTTGAGCTTTTTGGTTGGTTTTTGCTTTTGTAAAAGCAAAAATGGGTTCAAAAGCCCGCCCTAAAGCACCCTTATATTACCATGCTGCTAATTTTGTTGTAAACAAAGTTTTATCCTTTTTTATGATTTCAACATGATAGTTGGGTAGTGATGGTCCACTAGCATCTTTTTTTTTTTTGGCAATTGTAAATTTACCACGGTTTTGAATCGTTATTGCGAAACTACCACTAAAAAATTGCAAAAATACCACTGGAACTATCATTCGAGTAGCATCCTTACAAAATTAAAAAAAAACAGTGGTAAATTTGTAAATGCCCTTTTTTTATTGATAGTATAGGTAAGACACGTTCAAATATGATACTAATGTAATATGTAGTTACTGCTGGTACTGTCTTACAATATCTTAATTTTATTGATAGAGAGAGATTTACGGATGTGTGTTCTTTTGATCACTTTTCTAACTCCTATAACTCGTTTTCTATAGGCACATTTTCTAAATTGTTAAACAATATATTTTTCTTTAAAAAAATATAGAAAAGTTGCTTTTAACATTCATGTTAATATTTTAAACTTTTTAGTTAATACTTATTAATAATTAACATGTGTTAATTCATTGCTTCGTTTAACGCAGCTTTGTGAATTTCCATGAAACAAAAGCCAAGAATGGAACACTGAAAATAAAATTTCCCACGAAAAAAAGAAAAAGCCCAAAACCCCTTTTTCCTCCTATCCTGTCTCTCATCTCAAACCCCACACATTCCCCACAATCCGCTCGCCATGGCGACCACCGCCTCCTCCTCCTCCTCCCTCTCCTTCCTCTCGCCGCAACCCATCCACCCCCGCCGCGTCCGCCTCCCCAATCCCCCGCCCTCCACCGCCGCGCCGCCCACTCCGACGGCCGTACGCTGCACGCCCGCGCCCGCGGCGGCGCCGTCGGCGGCGTCTGCGGCGTCCGCGAGGTCAATCCCGCCGCCGAAGCTGGTGCGGTGCCCGGCGCTGGACCGCCAGGCGGCGCGCGCCAACCGCCTCCGCTTCGCCCGCAAGCTCCTCGTCCTGCTCCTCTCCAAGCCGCGCCGCTTCCTCCCGCTCCGCGTGCTCCGCCGCTGCCACCGCTACCTCGGCCTCCCGCCGCACCGCCGCCGCCGCCCGCTGGTCCCGTTCGTGCTCCGGTACCCGGCGCTGTTCCGCCTCTTCCAGGCGCCCACGTCGCACCCGCTCTCGCCCAACCTCTCCACCCTCGCCGTCGCGCTCACCCCCGCCGCGGAGGCGCTCGCCGCCGACCTCGCCGCGCTCCGTGGCTCCTCCGAGCTCGCGCCACGCCTCGCCGCCAAGATGCACCGCCTCCTCCTTCTGGCACCCGGGCGGAGCCTCCTCGTGTCCAAGATTGCTCACCTCGCACCCGATCTCGGCCTCGCCATGGACTTCCGCGCCACGCTCTGCCCGCAGCACCCCGACCTCTTCACCTTCGTGAACACCTCCCACGGCCACGCACTCCAGCTAGTCGATCCCCCGCCGCCACCGCCTCCGCCGCTCCCGCCTTTCCGCCCCGCGGCGCCATCCGACCGCCTCATTGACCGGCCACGAAGGTTCCCCCACCTCAAGCTCCGGCGAGGGCTCAACCTCCGCCGCGCGCACCGGGATTACCTCTTGCGGTTCCATAGCCTGCCCGAGGTGTCGCCATTCGAGCCACTCGATGAGGGCGCAAGCTTGGAGATGATGGAGCGACGGGCGTGCGCGGTTGTCCGGGAGGTCCTGGCCATGACTGTGGAGAAGAGAACACTGGTGGATCATCTCACACATTTCAGGCGTGATTTCGGGCTACCGAACCGGCTGCGCGCAATGCTAGTTCGGCACCCAGAGTTGTTCTATGTTAGTGTCAAGGGGTTGCGGCACTCGGTGTTCCTTGTCGAGGCGTTCGACGATGACGGTAGGCTACTTGTGGAGGATGATATGCTTGTTGCGAGGGATCGGCTTGAGGAGCTTGTCCGCGAGGGGAAGCGGATGAGGCGGGCTAAGAAGAAGGGCCTTCTTGCTCTTGCGGATGACAGTGATGAAGATGATGAAGAGGAGGATGGGGAAGAACAGGATTCGGTACAGGTCGATGGTGAATCTTGGGACTTGTTAGAGGATGGTGGCATTGGCGAGGACTGGGAGGAGGTGGGTGATCTTGGTGAGGGGAGCGATGACGATGCTGATGCTGAATTGGATGCGTTGGAGGAGTTTTGGGTGAAGAAAGCTGTGGCCGAGGGGTTGGTTGACACTGGGAGCGAGCTTGATGCTTGGTGAAGCGGACAATGGCAATCTGATGATCTGGTTTATGAGCATTCAGCCCTGCACGTTTCTGAAGATTTTGCTGACTAAGAATTGCTCAAGTGCATTCTTCCTAGCGATGTACAGAAGCTAGAAACCATTAGCACATAACCTTTTCTTATCTGCTGTAATTCTCTCTCTTACAAAATAAAGGTGTGTTCTTCCTAACCTTGGTTCCAGTGGAGTTATGCAATATGCATTTACAATTTCTATTTGTCTATTTGCATGAAAATGGATACGCCTGTAAATTATAGGATGAATTGAAAGACTAATTCTGTGATCTGAAACATAATTACATAGCTCTGATGCTTGAACACGGAATAGTCGATGAATCGAACTGACCTTGCTAATTGCTGTACTGAAGTAGTTAATATTATTACTAGCTGCCATATGTGGAGATTCTAGATGCTGAACTCAGATGATTACTACCTGCAATCTTACACTGGTCATGGTTGTAACTTGCGATTTTCAACCTTTATCTGTGCTATGTATAAAAGCCTTATCTAGTTGTTTTTACTGGTAACCTGGACACCTGGTAGGAAAGCTGTTTTTCTCAAGAAGAATAATGAGCGTGTGAACTAATTTGTTGAGTTCTTTCCATCCTAGTATAATCCTAGCTTTAACTGTCAATTGTTGTATGTCGAGATTTCTGCGACATACTTTACTAAAATTAATTTAATTATTATGGTGAACACGAGATATTTTGTTGAAAAGAACAGATCATCAAATGTGTCATCATGTTGGTTCTTTAGACCATTCCGTATCCAATAAACCAATGTACTGCAATTATTTGCATATGTTCTATGTTATGGTGCCATTTATTTCAAAAGTACGAGTGTTGTGTTTATTTACATGTTTTAAACTGCTTGAACCGATTGGTCATGTTGGTTGCATCTGATATAATATGTAAATGTAGATAGAGAGGGTTTACACATACCCTTTTTTTGTATCATTCTTTTGCTGCACCTGTTGTGATTTTGCAGAATTTCTGTTCATCGAGATCGTGCTGGATCAGGCTCAAACCAGGGATTTCTACGTTTTCTATAATCACCAAGTTCATCCGCTCTTAAATTTCTGTAAGTTCGTAGTTTTAGGAGTGGTGCTATACACTTGCACAACACAGTAGGTCGTCCATTTTTCTGCTCGAAATGAAGGGTTGGTTTTCTGCAGTTCATCCAGTGGCATTCCTGTTTCGTGTCAGGTTGTTCACTCACTTGCCGGGGCTTATGTTCTTAAACTAGTTGATACCCCGCATATTGCAGCGGGTATTGCTAAAATAACTTTGTATATATGCAAGGCAGAAAATTGTGTGCTTCAATAAAATAATTTGGTATCGGTTTCAGGTGAGCAAAGACAACAAAATATGAGCTACAGAAGGTCAGAGAATGTTTTGTAATATAACATATGTGATTACTGCAGCTATATTTCGTCCAACAGTATGCATTACTGCACACACTCAATTCTCATCAAATATGTAGCTATTGGAAGCACATGCTTATGTTTTTCCAAATATTCACAGATGGATCATACGGTTACCATTAAATCAGCGAAAAAGAACCATATCCTTCTCATGGTGCTATCTGCAAGGGAGTAACTTTAGTAGCTAGTTTTCTTTTCATGCGGAATCCATGCTGTAAGTTGTGAATAATAGCGGGAAAATAAAATTACCATGCTAAACCTGACACTTAAATCTGAACTGCTGTTGTAAACAATAGTTGTGGTCATTTTTTTTTATTTGCCTAGCAAAGATGTAATGATATAAACAAAGCACGGTCAAATGTAGTATTTTATCCAAAGGCTCCAAGCCCACAGGTACCAACATATATATATTTAAGCAACTCGATTCCGCAATGCATCGATCATTTGACAAATTACAGATTGCAAATATTGCAAAATCCCATACATATATAAACTTGTAAAGCAAGTGGCAACTACAGATTGCAGCAACTCATGATGCTGCATTGTAGTATTGGCAACATTATTATTATAGTATTGGACATGGAACTAGTACACATAGCAGGCATGATCAGCTTACACGAAGAACGGCTCGATACATGAAGATAAAAGAGCATGAGAAATTGCAGAACAGGAAACAACCGTAATTGGCTCTACATAGGAAGAAGCACATCGGAAGACACCTCACTTGGTTGTTCCAGTAAAAGGGTAATTAACCACAAAATAGATGAAATACTGGAAGGAGTGCTGTGGCCTGTGGATGCTGCCGCCGCATGATGAAGAAAATCCATCGGAAAGTTACTCGCCCAAAGAAGAGAATCCATCGGAAGTATTTACGAGTTAATAATCAATCAGCCTCAGTCGAAGAAAATTATGGAGTTCTTTCTCCTCCTTTGTCAGCAGGTCCCTTTCAAAGGGCTGTTGTACTTGGTGAAGAAGCTCCGGGCACTCCGATATGCTCACGTAACGAAACGATGAAAGAGCGTGCGCTCCTCCGATGGATGATAGCTTCAAACATTTCTTGAGATGCAGGTATTGGACCTGAAAGTTTGTGCCGATCGGAATGGACTCCATGTTATTACATCCAACCAAATGCAGGGCGGTGAGAGATGTTAGAGCCCGTAGGCAGGTTGGAAATGACCTATCAAGCTCACCGCAATTCACAATAGAAAGTCATTGGAGTGAGGATGGCAAAACCATTTCTTGTGGGCACACCTCGTTGCAATACGAGATTCTCAGGTCTTGTAGGCGATCAAATCCCACGAAACTAGGTAATACTAGACGAAGGCATCGCCCGATCGCAATGAACTTGATGGATGGTAGATAATCCGGAGACAAGAACTGATCAAGATTCCGCAGCCCGTTACAGTTGATAAGGCGTACACTAGTGAGGCCTCTAAAGCATACAATGCCATTACTGCTGCTTGGATGCTGCATCCTGTCACAATCAGTTGAACCAGATGGCGTATCGTCAGCAAAAACTGTTAGTTCTTCAATCGGTACTCGTGCCAGTAATAGATGTTCCAGAGAAGGTAATGACGGAATCGATAGACTTTTCAAGCAGTGACACCTGACAAGCTCCAGGGACCTTATAGTCGGTAGGCTTTCTGGTTTAAACTAACTAGAACAAAAGCTGTCACCCCTAAAGTTTTCGACTTTAAGGCATTCAATTCTTCGTGGAGGACACAAGCCTTCGAGCACTCCATTCTCACTGCTCATCACATTGTATCCGTCACTATCTCGCCACCATAGATCTAGTGTCTTGAGATATTGCTTGTCAACAAGTCTAGCCTCAGAAGCCTCTTCCTTGCTCTTAACATTACAAATAGATTTGATAGTTAGCGTTCCACTGAGCTTATCCATGTCCTTCAGCTCACCAATTTTCCGCCCATTCCTTGGTGCAACTGTAAAATATTTTAAGTTTCGTAGACGAGAGAGATTTCCAAGCCTAGTCAATACTGATAATTTCAGAGCGCAATTTGTTGGCAGTGCTAAACGACGCAAGTTGATTAGCTTTGTGACATCCGGACTAATTGCTCTCAAACTCGAACGCCTTGCATCAACCACTTGTAAGCTGTAAAGGCGCCAGAATTTCTCCGGCAATTCCTTTACACAGCTATGAGATATATCGAGATAACGGAGGCTGTGCAACTCACCTATGCTCTCAGGTAGCTTGACAAGTTTGCAACCCTGTAGGCTCATAAATAGGATGTTGGAGAGCTGATTAAACCAGGTAATCTCGACCTTGAGGTTGATCCCTAACCTAAGTGAATGAAGTTTATTCAAATACTGAATGTCTCTTAGTTCACTCTTCAAGGATTCATCTGCAACCTGAACCGACATATGGCGAACTGCATGTAGCTTTCTGCCCTCGTTCCGAGAGCTCAAATCTTGCAGCAAGAGGCATTCGTTCACAGAAACAGACTGCGCCATATCATGGATCAAGTCATGCATGACATATCTACTTTCATCCGGGTACTTGGGATCGATTTGCAAAAGAAACCTGCTCCTCAAATCATCCAAATACCTAATCCCAATATCTTCAGGACGCGTCCTCTCTCCGGATACAAGTTTCACAAGGCTCTCTGCCACCCAAATGTCAACGATCTCATCTCATTCAAAGCTATAATCTTTTGGAAACATGGAGCAGAATGCAAAGCATCTCTTAAGTTCTCGTGGGAGATATAAGTAGCTCAGTTGAAGGGCCGGCAATATCTCATTCTCTTGATGTGGCAGCTCCCACAATTCACTTTTCTGAATAGTCTCCCAATGTCGCACGGTTAGCTCCATATTCAACAAGCGTCCGAGAGTTTTGGCAGCCAAAGGAGATCCGCATAACCGAGAAGCAATGCTCTGACCAATTTTATGCAAATTATTACATTCCGAATCAGCTGGGCGCTTCTGCCCAAATGCACAGTCCTTGAAGAAATTCCAAAATTTATCTTCATCCAATCCTTTGAGTTCAAAAGGTTCAAAGTTGTTGGTGCAAACAAGATTAGCAACATTTTGTAATCTTGTAGTTACTAAGATCATACTGCCTTTAAGTCCGTCCTTCAAGAGTGCATTAAGTTCTTCCCATTCACGATTAGTAATGGACCAAATATCATCCAACACCAAAAGGAACTTTTGACTCTTTAGCTTCTTCTTCAATTCCTCCTGAAGATCATTTGAACTATGTTGTGATGAGTCTTTCTTGGTGATGGACTTGAAGATCTCTTCTATTATCCTTTTCTTGTCAAAGAGGTCTGAAACACAGACCCATGTCCTCATGCGAAAGTGAGATCTCACCCTCTCGTCATTATAGATGTACTGAGCCAAGGTAGTCTTCCCCACCCCACCAATACCAAATATAGGCAAGATAGAAACATTGCCGATGCATTTGGATTGAGAAATTCTGGGTCCAGCCCTGCTACTCTCTCCTTTCAGTCGCTTCGGTGTGGATGCTGATTTGGCGACAGTGCCCCCTGCTGCTCTCTTTCCTTTAGCTCGTGCTGCAACAAACCTGGTGAGTGGCACACCCATCTTCTCAATCACTAAATCTCGTTCATTGTCACGTCCAATCATCACACCTAGCTTCTCAATCACTAGATCTCGTTCTTCATCATGACCAAACACTTGAGGCACGCCAATGACTGAACTTGTCACTGGCATGTGTTGAACTATCTCAAAATTAAGACCCACTGAATTAAGCTCTCCCTCTAAATCAGCCACAGCCTTGTTGAGCTTATCTTGGACCTCCTTTATCCTTGTCTTGCTACCACCGATCAAAGTTTGTACAACATTTAGAGAGGAAGAGAAAAATTGACCTGCCAAGCTCCGGTCAGCATCCTCCATCTTCTGCCATAGCACCTGATCATTGGACTCGCGGAGAAGATCCTCCGCGTCATAGGTGGCGTCCTTGAGATGCCAGAGAAGTGCCGCCAGATCCTTGTTCTTGAACCTGCCCCACTCGCCCCGATAGATGACAGCGCGAGCCTTGTCCAAAGAGACCGGGAGGCAGGATAGATCCTTCTCCAGCTTGCTCGCTTCCCCAAAGTTGATCATGGTTGAGACCGCTTCGCGGATGTTGATCACGCTTTGCAGCATCTCCATAACTGCCGCGCGCAGCAGTCCTTGCTCCCTCTGGATCTTGGCCTAGACTTGTGATCTGATTGAGCGATCGACAGTACTGCAGGGAGACTATGCGGTGGGTGGAAACTGGAAAGTGAGCACGATACAGAAGCTGAGATGTTAAGTCTTGACTATAGTCCCCTCTAGTTCAGGACTCAAGAGAGAGAGAGAGATGCTCCTTCCCAAATTCCAATAAGCCTTCACATGACTCATACGTCTTTTGATCAACGTTCTGTTTATCTAATACTTCAGCCCACTGTCTTTTTCTGTCTTCAAATAAGAAAAACTCTACTTTGCACTTGAAGATTCCATCTGTCCGATCTCCTAGTTCAGTGCTTTATTAGTTGTAATGTAAAAAGCTGCTACATCTGTTTTTATTAGTTGTACTAGTTCAGTGCTTTGGCTCTTACTCTGTACACCTTTTGTAAAAAAAAAATCTTCTATTGATGAATATAGACAAATGCCTATTTATGTCCATCCTCAGAAGTTGATATTTTATAAGACGGAGGGAGTAAAACACTTAGGAGTATCTTTCTCCATCCCCCTTTGTTAATTGATTTGCTAGAACTCTCGTCTTCCTATAGAAAAGAAGAAAGATTTCATTTGCCCGTGTAAATATAAGTGCACAACCCACGAGAGAAGAATATCTTCCTGTAATCCTAACTGGAACCATTTGTTCAAGTATTTTTTAAAAACAATTTAAGTCTTAACGCATTCTTAATTCTAAATCCCAAGTTTTAGAGTTTACAAAAAACAACAAACAAAAATAATCATATAACCAATATATATCTCTACGCCATCCAATTCTCAATGCATTACACATATATACAAAATAGTATGTGGTATTTTTACGGCGCTGCTATACATACGATTCTTTTTTACGATTGTTGTACGGTAAAACGCTTCTTTCCAGCGGTTGTTAACGATGAAATGGATTCCTCTTCCACTATTGAGCCCATATCCAAAGCTCAAGTTCATGATGATGTCTTGGCCTGCTATATCATAACCCTTTTTTTTTGATAAATTTGTCCTTTTCAAAAACTTATTTCGAAAGTAGTCCCAACAAAAAACTTCAACCAAAAATAAGCCATCGGCTCAGCGCCAGAGAAGTTGGCACCGAGTTCCTACATGACCGTGCCACACGTGTTGGCGCTGAACCCCTGCTAACGTGGCGGCCGAGCCAATCCCCTTCGACGTGGCAGGGTTCTCAGCGCCAAGGCGGTTGGCACTGAGACGGCTAACCTCGCCAAACGCATTTGCGTTGAGCCTGCAGCCTATAGATCGCGGCCGAGCCGCCCAGGCCCGGCACTCCCTTCTTTTTATCCTCGCGGCTAGGGTTCATCCACGTCGCCCTCTCTGCTCCCCTCCGAATATCTCCTCAAATATCCCTCAAATCGAAGGCTATTTTGTACGCATTGCGTTGGAGATTGATTTGTAAGGTAAATTCCCTCCAAAAACCCTAATTTCCCCAATGTTTTCATCATTTTTGTAGAGTATTTTGGTTGAAACCGTACGTTATTGAATGTGGCTCGGGTTGTGGTGTGAATTAGGGAATATGGGTAAGAATGCAATGTTGTAGTTGTATATTGATGTTCGTATAGAGGATACATATTGTTTTTGCAAGTTATACACTATTTTGCTAAGGGTGAACTTGGGAGGGATGTATAGTGCCGTTGTATTGTGAATATTTTGGGGATTCATACTGATTTATGATGATGTTGATAGGTATAGATCCTAGGAACATTGTCACCGGGGGGAACGGCTCAGCCGCCACGCTGGCAGGGTGTTAGCGCCAAGGTGGTTGGCGCTGAGTCGGCTAACCTTAGCGCCTTCGGCCCGTGCACCAGATCTGAGAGAGGGAGAGGGGTGGTGGCGGCGGGGGAAGGGGAGGAGGGAGGAGCGGGGGAGAAAGACCTGGATCCGCCGCCTCTCACCTTCCCGTCGCCCGAGTGGTCGCGCCACTGGATCCGCCGCCCGTCACCCGAGCCGCCGCGCCACTAGATTCGGCTACCGCCCGTCGCCCGAGCCACCGCGCCACCTGATCCGACCACCGCCCGTCGCCCGAGCCGCCGCAGCTCCCGATCGAGGCCTAGGCGGCGGATGAGCGAGAGAGGAGGCGGTGGGAGAGGAGTCGGAGAGAGGAGGCTGTAGGAGAGAGTCAGAGAGAGAGAGGAGGGAGGCGGTGGGAGAGAGACGCGTGAACTTTAATGGCGAGAGGTGGGCCGTGGGCGGTGGACTTTAAAAGCAGCGGTACTCTGTACCATCCGCCAGTAAAAATGTGATTTTCGTTGGCAGTGTATTGAGTGGGCTGCTAGCAAAAATGGCTACATCTTTACTGGCGGCCCGCTTAGCTCGGCTGCCAGCGAAGATTTGTTTTCGCTGGCAATCCGTAGCCCTCCACCCCTCGTTACATTTTTGCTGACAGTTTTCGTATTTTTCCGCCAGTAAAAATCATAGGGCAACGCCATGAAAAATCTTTTTTCTATTAGTGTGTGCTCCCGTTAGGTACCCAGTGCCTTCTCCGTCATTTACGTTTGCTCGTATCAAGATCGTAAGCGAAAGTCGTACGTGTAGCATTTTCCATAGTACAATATTAACGTGTGTTTTGCATAATTAAGTCTTGGTTTTGTGAAACATGTTGTCTCAAAATCAAGGGCTCCTTGAACCAAATTAGAGATGCTTGAATCATATTCTAGCTGACCCTACTAGAAAACTCATTTTCGGCGTCGTAGGGGATCGATTTTCGCAGGCGGGCATGTAATTCGGAGCCAAAACCCCGCCGGCAAAAAAAGTACCCGGGGTGGAGGGGGCAGTCCACCTGTGAAGATTGATCTTTGCAGGCAGACCATATAAGCGTCGCCTGCGAAGATCGATCTTCGCAAGCGGCAGACGTCGTGCGCCTGCGAAGATCGATCTTCGCAGGCGACGCTTATATGGTCCGCCTGGAAGATCAATCTTCGCAGGCGACGCTTATATGGTCCGCCTGGAAGATCAATCTTCGCAGGCGCCGCTTATATGGCCTGCCTGAAAAGATGCCCCTATATAGTCTTCTTCCTCCCCGAGCCCTGTTCATTCTCCCCGAAGTTTCTCTCTCCTAAAGTGACCTAAATATAGGGGGGAGGTTTTGAACTTCAATTCTTCGGGGGATTTTTCTACGGTACTTAGATCTACTCATTTTCACACTAGGTATGCAATTTTTTAAGCTTTTATACCTTAATTTGTGATGGATTTATGCATGCAAAATTGTGAAGGAAGAGCTCCATGTTTTTTAATTTTATTTCTTTTGATATGTTGATGTTAGATGTATGTACAATACTTGATGCCTCTTGTTGTAGTGGTTTAATGTGGTAACATAAATTCTCAATTTTTTTTATTTTTGCTATCACATCCACCTCCTAGTTCTAGATCTAGATCTAGATCTTGTCATATATAGAGAGAGAATAAAATTTTAAATGTCTATTTATTCGGTGAAATCAAAAAATAGTTATAGTATTTTGTAATATGGCGATGATATGATTTTGTTAGATTTTCCTAATGTACTAATTTGGCATGTCTGTGTAAAAAAAATTGAAATAAACTTTGATTTTTTATTAATTTACACTTAACTTTTAGTTAATTAGTTTTGAATAGCGATAAGTTTTTTCAATAAACCCTACAAATTTGGTATTAATTGTGCAAATATTTTACGTGTATTCTTTTAGAGATACGGAAAGTCGGGAATGGATGTATCATTGGCCGAGATTTTTGTCTCCATATAGAAACGAAGTGTCTAAATTTATTGGTATTGCCAAGGCACACGCTGAGAAGAACAATATGAGGAAGATAATTGGTCCATGTGCTGACTGTAAGAATGAAATAGCCTGGGACTTTGACGATGCTTTTAAAGTGAAGGAGCACTTAGTAACTCGTAGATTTATGGACAAGTACGAAATATGGACACGTCATGGCGAAGAACAAGTGGACGGGCCTGAAAATGTAGTTCCGACACAAGTTGAAGACATGGTGCATGACGATGGTTCTGTTGAGGACAAAATCGACCTAGAGGAAATGTTACGTCATGCAGAACCCGAGGTGCTGATGGGGTCGGCTAGAGGGTTAAATAACTTTGAAGCTTTACAGAAGGCAGCAAAGGAAGTTTTGTACGATGAGTCGAAGGGCTGTGACAGTGAGATCACAACACTCCGGTCAGTTCTTGAACTTATGAGGTTAAAGGCGAGACATGGATGGTCTGATACCAGTTTCGACAGTCTGTTAGAACTTCTGCAGAAAATGCTCCCGAGGCCTAACTCTCTACCATCCAGCACATATCAAGCAAAGAAACTCATATGCCCCCTTTCACTTGGTGTGGAAAAGATTCATGCGTGCGTAAATCACTGCATACTGTACAGGAAAGATTACGCTTCTTTAGATGAATGTCCAACATGCGGTGCAAGCCGGTACAAGTCGAATAGCAATACTGGCCTAGAACCCTCTGAAGCAACTGAGGGACGACAGAGAAAAATCCCGCAGCTTGTGATGTGGTACCTTCCTGTCAAAGACTGCATTAAACGGATATACTCAAACCCGCGAGATGCGGAACTAATGTGCTGGCATGAAGAAGGGCGCAAGAAGGATGGGATGATTCGACACCCGGCAAATGCTCGTAAGTGGATAAACTTTGATGCTCAGTATAGAAAGTTTGCTAAAGACCCACGGAACATTAGATTTGCCCTGAGTACTGATGGAGTTAATCCTTTTTGAGACATGAGCAGCTCACATAGTACTTGGCCAGTGCTTTTCACCATGTATAATCTTCCTACCTGGCTTTGTCAAAAGCGAAAATACGTACTACTATGTATCCTCATACAGGGACCCCGTTAGCCTGGTATTGATATTGACATAATTCTTGAACCATTGTTGGAAGATATGGCTGATTTATGGAAAGAGGGATTGAAAGTGTGGGACGAGTACTTAAGGGAATACTTCACAGTGAAGGCCATCAT